CGGCGCACAGTAACGACTAGTTTAAGAATTTAGATTTCCTAGAGAATATTCTAGCAAATATTCCTTTCTGTTGTACTATCTAGGGTTTTTGACCCGTGTATCCTTATAAATAGGAAGAGATGTAGTTCTAGAAAGGGGATCGAACATTCTTGTAAAGAAGAACATTGACACTCTCTGTGAAGATTCTCTCTTTATTGAATATATACAAAGTTTACCTTTATGCTTCTTTTCCTCTGTTTTTCTCTCCCGATCCAAGAGGAATTGGAATATTCAATCGCTTATCATCATCCATCATTGTCAGAAAGTTCAGTGGAAAATCTCACCCTTTTTGGGTGAACCTTGTTCCTTTTGTTACTTAAATGTCATTTATTGTCATTTATTGCTATCTTTCACTTTCTTAAGTCGTTATTGCTTCATTACTCTAAGATATTCTTATCTAACAACACACGTTTAATATTATTCATAACAATACTAGATCTGCAACTTGGACATTAATTATGACTTGGATTAACCCTCTTCTCTATAAATCTAATTGTATAAAATCCTAGAACTAAATTTAGGGTTATACATACAACATCATTAATTTTCTACATATGAGTAAAGTCTCCCGGCATATAACTACTCCCAGAATACAAGTATACTCAAAAAACAAGTATGCGAAGTAAAAAATAAACCAACTATGAGGTAATATTGCCAATTCTATACGTACTATAACTAGAGTTTAAAGAATTTTAGACTATCATTTCATTTAAAAGATAAATATAGGAAATATTATTAAAAGAGAGATTAGTAACACTACGAATAAGACAAAATAACTGATACTTGCAAATTAAAAATATACTGCTGATATAAAATAGAAAATCATACTAACTATTATAGGATTCTCCTTCAATAGTGAGCCACATATTTGTATGTCATTATCTACCCCCACCACTAATCCACAACCCCCGTCTCTATGTGAGACTAAAACCTCATGAATGAAGAAACTAAAGTGAGGAAAACAAAAAGTTCTTAAAAGACAAACCAAACCACTTTTCATAAATCAACCTTAAGTGGAGCTTTTCCCATATAAAAAGTCCAAATAAAAAGCCAATATAACCATCTAAGAGAAGGAACTCTTGAATTGAAGAGAGAGAGTTCATTAATTCTATCTCTCCAAAATGGGGATTAGGAACAATTACTCCCATATTGTTCAAGACATGGATCTTTGCTTTCAAGCTCCAAACTTCATTGAGTGGTTAAAGCCATCATCTAATTCTTCTTCTTCTTCTTCTCCCTCTCCTTCTAATTCTTCCTCTTCTTCTTCATCCGCCATCACTCAACCAAGAGTACTAATCCACCATGAACCAGAAAATCCCATAACTTTCTTGAAACTTCCTCTCCTTTACAATCCACAAGAAGTTCAAGATATGAATATTGATCAAGCAGTTCAATGTTTACCTCTTCTTAACAAATTAACCGATCCGAAAACGGAGAGGAAGGAGGAAGATATTGGAGAAAGAAAAAAGGAGTGGTGTGAAGTGAAGGAAGAAAAGATGGAGAAAGTTACGGTTTCTTTGCATATAGGGCTTCCTGATAGTTGTGATGTTGAAGCAAAGCTACCTTTTAGCTTCAAACAGGAAGAAGAAAATAGAGAGAAACTTAGCAGTAAAATTAAAGGTTGCAATTTCAACAGTGAGAGTAGGTTTTGGATACCCACACCAGCTCAAATTCTTGTTGGTCCCATGCAATTTACTTGTAATATATGCAACAAGACCTTCAATAGGTACAACAACATGCAGGTTAGTCATCAACTTTATATTTTTAGTCATGAACTTTATATGTCTTCTGAATTTTTGTTTGATATTTCATCTTTCTCTTTTTTCTTTAAAGGCAGATTTAGAGTGAATTTTGTAAGATCAACTAAACTCATTATTTTTTGTAAGTCGACTTATATACATACGTATACATAGGCACATATGAATGATAAGATTACACTCATTTTGAACTCAATATTTGACTCTAGATCGTGGTTTTGTCTCTAATTTTCTTACTAATTGTTTTAATTAATCACAACTTCTATGATAAAACAACAAACAATTAATGAAATTACATATGCATGAGAAAGTTAATCTTTTCTTTATTTTGGTTTTAGTATGCTGAATTAAGTGATGATTATTTCAATCTTCACTTCATGCATCGAGTTTTATCATCAGTATATTCTTAAATATATATTTCCTAACATTTTTCTGTGCTTAAAGTTTATTCATCTTATTTCGAATAATCAATATAAATAAATATCTGACATATACTGCTGATAAAGCAGTCAATGCATTACAGATGACTGCTTACTCGCGCAACAATCAGACCGATCTTTAATCAGTTTCTTCTCCTTCTTCTTTAATATGTCCCTATAACTTCATTCCGTAATACCTTTTCATAATTTCTCCAAGAAAATTGACATAGCTCATTTACAGTCCGCTCCTTTTAATTTGTAGCAAAAATACTACACATTATATAAACCATATGATTATTCATACTTGCTAGCAGGGGTGGATTTAGGTCGTTTTTACGGTGTACGTGAACACATGGTATATACTTCGTAAAATTAATCAATATTAAATGCTGGCTTTCATGCTCCAAAAAGGTTAGATGGTGCACATGGTTGAATGCTAAGCTATTTATTCAAAGATACTTTTTTCTTGCATTTTCAATGGTGCTAGAAATCCTAGATCCGCCTCTGCTTGCTAGCTAGTCAGCCAAGTTTTACATTAATGGTTAAATAGCAAATTATAGTAAAGTTCTTGATCTAGGTGAAGCATTGGGCATTGACGTAACCCTAATGTAAAGAGTTTCTCAAGCCCGTACAGTAGCACTTTTCCAAATTAAGGAATCTTTACACTAGGTGGAATTGTAACTTAATGATTAAACTTCGTATAGGCGTAAAAAAGAAAAAGGAAATGCATCTGTTGTCCTTCTTCTTTTATCTATCCCTGTTTATCTTGCATTATTATTACTTGAAACATACGACAGACAACCGATTAGAACAAGTTAAATTACACTTTATAAGTGTAAACAAATTATTTACATTGATCCAATGCGGAAATTAATGTATTATGTTTAGTGGCGGAGCCACCTTAATCTAAGGACCGCTAATTTCATCCGAAGATTACACTATGTAGTAGCTAGATTAAAATTTTATTTTTATGTATGTATGTTATATAACTGTATATCGTTGAATCCCCTTTAACCTTTTTATATTTTGGCAATAATTAGTAAACTTCTTGGATTATGTTTACAGATGCACATGTGGGGGCATGGTTCGGAATACAGGAAAGGACCAGAATCACTAAGAGGAACACAGCCAGCAGCAATGCTGAGGCTTCCATGCTACTGTTGTGCTCAAGGCTGCAAGAACAACATCAACCATCCACGAGCAAAGCCATTGAAGGATTTTCGAACCCTTCAAACACACTACAAGAGGAAACATGGAACCAAAGCATTTAACTGCAGGAAATGTGGGAAGACATTTGCAGTGAAAGGAGATTGGAGGACACATGAGAAGAATTGTGGCAAGCTTTGGTATTGCATTTGTGGATCTGATTTTAAGCATAAGAGGTCTCTTAAAGATCATATTAGGTCATTTGGTAAAGGCCATTCTCCTCACCCTTCTCTTAATAATGGCTTTGAAGATGACAATTTTAATAAGGAGTGCACTAGTGATGATGAAGTTAATCTCACTAATTAGTGGAAATTATTCTTCAAGAGTAAGCAAGAATTTCTCCTTGTTAATCAATGAAATTCTTGACTACTCTTGGAGTTTACATGTTCCCTACAAGCTCTTTTTAAGCAAGATTTCTTTTCTTTTTTTTATTTTGGTATTTGGAAAAAATGTGCAACCCTGGCAATTGCTCGGCAACAAAAAATTCTCAGGCATGGGAGGGGTTTGTTGAGGAGCATTAGCATGGTGGTGAGCATTATTAAGTACTACATATATAGAGATTGTTTTTTTTTCACTAATATAATTTAGTGTATTTGTAAGAATAAGGTTGATAAGCTAAATGATGAAGCAGGTGAATTTTCTTCTTTGTTGAGCTACTAAGTTTCCTATTCCCTTGTGATGATGGGGAAAATTTATCAGCTTCATTGCTAACTTTAGTAATATTATTCCATAATGTATTGAGTTCCATTGTTTGTTATCTTGTGAACAATTTAGTCTTTTCGTTTAACTATCTGTATAGATAGCTGCAAATACTTAATACTATCATGAAGTTCCCAACTTGTATATATTGTCACTAGTGTGTACTTTTTTCCCCTCCTTTTTTCTGAACATTCACACCTTAGTTGGGGAAGTTGATCGACTAGATTATATACTACATTTTCGTTGTCGTCTCAATTACTATAGAAATATATCCTCTCTTTTTTTGTGTACCCTACGTTAGGGGTTGAGTCATATCAGCTGCTGGACCATATATAGCTTTTTGCAAGAGCATGATTACCCTAAAAGGGGACTTACGACTATACATAGAAGACTTTGATTCTGAATATTAGCCTTAATTAGTGGATTTTGCCATCCAAATTATATCAAATGTAATAATATGTTGAATCGCAAAATGGAATAATTAAATAGATGGGGTTCAAAATGGGAAGATTTTCTCTTGGGGTGGGCTTGACTAGATCTGATATATCTTTTTTTTTTTTTTTTTTTTTTTGGGTTCTCTTTTTCTCTAAATTTGAAAGTAATGGTCAAGAAGAAGGGGTTCTCCACTACGACTTGTCTGGAGAAAAAAAGAAGCAGGTTTCCATTTCTCTGGTTTGCTTGGCTCCAGCTTACTGGATAGTTTGTATGCATTTTTGTATACCTGGTACTGGAATTATGGCATTTCCTTAAATTTAAGCACGAGTCGGTAATATATACAAAAGTACAAAAAACACTAACAACACACTACGCGCCTCACGCGCCCGATAAAATCCCAATCAAAATACCACCGTCTACAGCCTAAATATCCACGCCCCTCCCCATGGAGCCACCGGACGGCGCTAATCCGGCGCGTTCGGCAGCCCAAACGAAACTCCAAGATGCGCCGATTCAACCTTTGGATGGAAACACAGGGAAGATCTCATATGCCACTAGAGTGACCATGGCTCCTCCTACATCTGCATCATCCACTCGCCGGGGATGCGAAGCTGTAACTGCAAGGAAGACAACACATAACGAAATACCTGCTATAATCTTCAAAGCAAAGGACTATTATGGAGTTATGGCGGAGGAATGTAGAAGAACCATTGTGGGAAGATTTATCAAAATCAGACCACAAATAGAGAAAATTAGATCGAGATTTGCGGAGAAATTCACCCTAAAGGGATCAGTTAAAATTGGAGTCTATGATAATCACAATGTGTTCCTGGATTTTACCAACGATGAGGATGTCAACACAATATGGTTCAGGAGGGTTATTAAAATTGAAGGCCGTCAAATGTGGCTCCAGAAATGGACGCCAGATTTTAAACCAGAAGAAGACATCCCAATTGTCCCAGTTTGGATTCTATTACCTCAGCTTTCATTTCACATGCACACTTGGCACTATGTCAAGTAGGTAGCCAGTGCAGTTGGAATTCCATTAGAGATGGACATAGCTACTGCCTGCAGGACCCGTCCTAGCATGGCGAAGGTTAGAGTGGAGGTTGACCTACTGAAGCCATTGCTAACTAGTGTCTGGGTAGGTTCAGATGATGAAGACTCTCCATTGAGAGGCTTTACACAGATGGTGAAGTACGAAGGAGTTCCCAAGTACTGTAGGCATTGTAAAAAGCTCGGGCATTCGTTGATCGAATGCAGGGTGTTGGAGAAGAATAAACAGGTAGAACAAAGGGAGATAGAAAGAATGGAAGAAAAGGCACAAGAGGGTAATGAAGAGGCAGACAAGTTGACTGATGAAAGCAAAGAAAAGGGTAACCACAACAAGTTACTCAACAGATAATTATTCCAGGAGATGAGGCAAGTAGCAGAGGAGCAGTGGGAACAGAAAAGAGGAAAGAACAGGGAGGGATGGAAGTTAATGAAACTAATGAAAAACAATATGACAAAAATGAAAACAAGCCTGAGAATGCAGCACCCATCGCAGAAAAGATAGACAGCACAGAAGAAGACAATACAATGAGGAAGAGAACAAGAAGGAACAAGAAGAGGAATGGAAGTGCAAAGAAGGCTGCTAAAAAGAAACCAAATGTGACTTTCAAACCGGGGATAAGCAAGCTGATAGAGAACAGAAATAAGGCAAAGCAAATGATCATAGAGAACCTCATCGGGGGGGACAGGCCGGGCAAGAAGAGGACCAAATGGCGGGTACAACTCACAGAATGGAGACCTCTAACAATATAGACAATGTGGAGAAGAAGACAAATGAAATACCACAAACTAGCTCTGAAGTACAAGGAAAAACAAAGCAGGCCTATATTGAAAAATCTAGCAGCAGCATTCAAAGGGTAGAGGAGTCTATATTGGAGTCGTCAAGCCTAGGATCAGAAATTAAGAACCAGTCGGGTATACAGCTGGTGGTGGATCTGGGGAAGCATCAGATGACTCTCCAAACTACAAGCAAGTTGGCTATACAAACATCGAATGATGACTGTTTGAAGCAACTTGAGGAGGAGGCTCCTAATAGCTCGGAAGATGAACAAGTAGACAGCTTGATTGATGAGCAAGAAGATAGCTTCCAACAACATCTAAAATAGGTGGTAGATAATGAAGGGCTATCCCCTAGAGGAAGAAGCAGAGGCAAAAGCAGAAGCAGATGCAAGAAAAGTGGAAAAGAAAGGAAACTTAAATCCAAACCTTACTCTGAGGGGAGGACACAAAACCAACAATTCTAACTGATTGATGATCAGTGCAATATTCTGGAATATTAGGGGAATGAGGTCTCAAAAAGCCAATCATAGGGCTTAAAAACTTAGTTAAGAAAAATAAGGTTCAGTTTGTTGCGATCTTTGAACCATTTGTTCACAAACAAAAAATAGAGGGATACAAAAGGTTCCTGGGTTTTGAACATTGTATGTCTAACGAGATTGGACAAATATGGTGTTTTTGGTCAAAATATGTGAATGCCAACATGATAAGAATGGATGATCAACAGATGACTCTACGATTTGAATCAAATAATGAGGATGATGGGATCTTCACAACTGCTATTTATGCAAAGTGTATTGCTGGGGAAAGGAAAGACTTGTGGGAAAGTTTGGTGAATACAGAATCACAAGTTGATGGTGCATGGTGTATAGGTGGTGACTTCAATGTTATTTTGGAACCCTACGAAAAGCTGGGAGGTAGGCCACATAGAGCTTCAAAAAGCTATGATTTTGCATAATGTCTTGACCTTTGCGGGGTGTCAAATGCAGGATATGTTGGATCTATATATACCTGGTGTAATAATTGGTGTCCCAGGAAAAGAGTATGGAAAAGGCTCGATCGAGTTCTCACTAATGATTCATGGATCCATAAATTCCAGAATACAATAGTGAGGCATCTCAGTAGATCAGGATCAGACCATAGACCCTTGCTAGTGAAACATAAAGAGGATCAAGCTGACCATATTATGTACTTCAAATTCTTAGACTTCTAGGTTGATCAACCAGGATTCTATAAATTAGTCCAAGAGGTATGGGGTAGACAAGTGGCTGGGAATCCTATGTGGAGACTTCAGCAGAAACTAAAAGCACTGGGAAGGAGACTTAGTAGATGGTCTAGAGAAGTCATTGGGGATGTGTATAAAAAGGTGGATGAATAGGAAAGATATGGTACAAAGACTGGAAGAGCTGGATCAAAGCAACAACACAGAACAGTCCAAAACAGAATTGAACAAAGCTCAAGCAGAATATGTACGATGGATGGCAATGCAAGAATCAATGCTCAAGCAAAAATCCCAAATAAAATGGTTCGAGGAAGGAGACTGCAATACTAGATACTTTCACAATGCTATCAAGGATAGAAGAGAAGATTACAACTCCACAGAGTGAAGAATCATAGAGGAAGATGGATTCAAGGGGATGATAAGATATCCAAGGCTGTTGTTCGACATTTTGAGTCCATGTTTAATCTCAATGCTACTGTTGTAAGTAGGGATGTAATCAGCTGCATCACAGAATCTATAACCAGGGAAGACAATGACTTACTATCACAAATGGTAAGTAGAGAGGAGGTCAGAGAAGCGATCCTAGATATGAGTCTAACAAGTTCAGCAGGCCCAAATAGATTCAATGGCACATTTTACCACAAGTGCTGGTCTATTATTGCTACTGATGTCATAGAATTTGTGAAGAGCTTCTTCAATGGAAATAAGCTTACAAGATTCTACTCACATACATGCTTTGTCTTAATACCAAAAGTTGATTCTCCAACTACATTTGCTGATTTCAGACCAATAAATCTGAGTAACTTCTCGGCTAAGATCATCTCTAAAATATTGGCTAGAAGACTAAATCCATTACTGCCTAAGCTAATCTTAGAGAATCAAAGTGGATTTGTGAAGGGTCGGATAATCACTGATAATGTGCTGCTTGCTCAAGAAATAATCCATGGAATATCAGAACCTAACACAGGGGGAAATATGGTGATAAAGCTGGATATGGCAAAGGCGTATGACAGAGTATCTTGGGAGTTCTTGATATCTGTCCTTAGAAACTTTGGCTTCTCTAGCTGGTGGACTGAGGCTATTGGCAGGTTGATTTCAGAGTTATGGTACTCGATAATTGTTAATGGCACTAGGAGGGGTTTCTTCCTTCTTCTCAAGGATTGAAACAAGGAGATCCTCTATCTCCAGCTCTATTCATCATAGGATCTGAGGTATTCTCGAGATTATTGAATAGACTTTATGATGACTAGAGGTTTGTTCCATTCTCTATGAACAATAGAGGACCCAGAATCAATCACCTGGCCTACGCAGATGACATGGTTATGTTTTGTGGAGGAAAGAGTAAGTCAATAAGGCTTGTGATGAAGCAGATTAGGCTCTATGAGAGGAGTTCTGGACAGAAAGTTAATGAAGACAAAAGCTTTCTTTTGCACATCTCCAAAGGTATCTATTTCCAGGGCTAACAGGATGATAGACAAGACTGGTTACAAGCATAAACAATTTCCTTTCAATTATTTGGGCTGCCCCTTATATATAGGAAGGAAAAAGCTAAGTTACTTTGATGAGCTCCTCACCAAGATCATTAAAAGAATCTCTGGTTGGAAATGCAAACTACTATCCAGTGGAGGAAAGGCCACACTGATCAAACATGTTCTCCAATCACTTCCAACATATACCCTAGCAGCAATGAACCCACCTAAGGGTACTCTAAAGCTAATGGAAAGGCACCTAGCGAGATTCTTTTGGGGTACAAGTAATGAAAAGAAAAGATATCATTGGGATGCTTGGGAAAACCTGTGCTACCCAAAAGAGGAAGGAGGAATTGGAATTAAGAGAATGGAAGCAATAAGCGACTCATTTGCTTATAAAAGGTGGTGGAAATTCAGAACTGAAGATTCTTTATGGGCATCATTCTTGAAAGCAAAGTATTGTTCAAGAGTTCACCCTGTTGCTAAGGCTCCATTCATTGGGAAAGATGATACAGATCAAGAGAAAAGCAGAACAGAATTTGACTTGGAAAATTCAAATGGGAAACAACAATTTGTGGTGGGATAACTGGACAGGAAATGGGGCACTGGCTCACCTAATCACATGTCAAGCAAAGTTTGCTAAAGACAAGGTGGAAGACTACATTCAAGAGGGCAAATGGAATGTTATGAAGCTAGTAGAGATCATACCTGATCAACTTATTAGCCAAATATCCAAAATAAAAATTGGAGATCCAAATGCAAAAGACCTGTTTGGGACCCTTCAGCAGACGGGCAATTCTCAACCAAGTCGACTCATTCCCTCTCTAAAATCCCAAGGCAGAAGGATCCATTCAGGCATAAGGTATGGCACCCAAAGCTCCATTTTAAATTATCATTCTTGACTTGGAGATTGATACAAAGGAAGCTGCCCTTTGATGACACTAAGGGAGTGTTTGGAAGCAATGTTGTATCTGAGTGTGACTGTTGCAATGTTCCAAAGAGGGAAACTCTTCAACATGTATTTTTGAATGGAGAAGTAGCTAACAGAATGTGGAGGAAGTTTGGTGGACCTTTGGGCATTGATGATAGGGCCACATCAATTAACAGCATGTTAAAGAAATGGTGGGAAACTAAACCGAAGAACGGGGTACATAAAATGATCCTACACATTACACCAATTGTGGTAGTGTGGGAAATTTGGAAGCACGGATGCGCATGTAGGTACGGGGGGCAGAAGAAAATATGGTAGGGAACCATGGAACACCAGTCTTGGTGGATAATCAAAATGATGATGGGAAGAACTTTTAAAAACTGTAACTTTGGAAATTCATGGTTGAAACTATGTGAAATTGTTGAAAGCCTCAAACCAACTTCGACATGGAAGATTTTTAAGTGGTTGAGACCACCTGAAAACAGAGTGAAGATTAACAGTGATAGCAGCTTCGCGGAAGGAAAAGTAGGAATAGGCGGGGTTGTTAGAGATCATACAGGTGACATGATTATGGCATACTCAGTTCCAGCTGTATGCTCTAGTAACAATCTGGCAGAAGCCCAAGCAGCCCTCTTTGGTGCTCAATGGTGTATGCAACATGGCTATGTAAATTGTGACTTGGAAATGGATTCTGGTAGTGGTTGAAATGCTGAAAAACAATCACTTTACTAACTTGAAAATGAAGGAACCAATTGATGCTTTAAGGCAGATCATGCTCCAGCTTAACTGTACAGTCTCATTGCTTCAGAGAAGCGAACCGGACTGCTGATAGCTTGGCAAAGGCTGCTGTTAACTTAGTTGACCCTTGTATGTATTTTGATTGGCAAAGCTTGCCTAGATGTGTAGTAGGACTATATTTGTTAGATAGAATGCAGTTGCCTAGCATAACGCTAAGATACGACAAAGCGAATTTTTTTGTTAGCTAAAGAACTCTTAGTTGATACAGGTCAAGGTGGAATGTACCTTGGCCTTTTTTGAAGTGTTGGCAGCTGCCCACTTTTTTTGGTGATAATATATGAACACCCAATCATTGGGGTTAAAAAAAAAAAAGCACGAGTCGGTTGACTCTACTTTTCTTTAGAGACAAGACAGAATTAATACTCTAAATCACATCCAATATTTTTTGAAGCCCATGAGAGATAAAAGTTTATCTCATATTTAAATTTCTTAAAAAATAATAGAAGTCAGTAATATGCAAGAAAGCAGGACATATGGGTGCTCCGTAAAGCCAATTTTCATCCTTTTTTTCTTTGTTTTCTGGACAATCTGTCATTTTTGAACTTGTAGCGTATTTTATTTAGCTCCCATGAGGATATTAACTTGTGAATAATTATACTAAAGTAATAACCCAATTTGGGCCATTTTATTTATCTACTGTGTTTCTTTTATTAGATATGTAATTAGTTAGCCCAAATCTTAGATAGACTTAGTTAGGCCCAATCTATAAATACTTGTACAGTCATACCTTTTGAGACTAATGAGAAAGACCAGATATATTCTATTCCATCTGCTGCATCTCTCACGCCATTCTTCTCTCTGTTTGGCATTTGTTTCGATCGCCGGAATTCATCATAGATTCCGGGTCAAATTTCTGATTTCTAGCATGGAATCAGAGTTGATTTCGCATCTCATCTTGTTTTTCAGCTT